CACACACACACACACAGTGTTACAATGCAAACTACTACTACTCTCATTTTCTGTTTTGTGTGTCAGTATCACATCCTCTATATGATAACATTACAGACAGCTTGACTGTGTGCACATGTCCTGTAAACTTCTTCTGTCGGAACAGTGCATGTAGATCAAATCACAATCAAGATGGTACGCTGATGCACAGGAAGACTGTTTTCTGAACCTGTACAACTACAAATGATTTAAGAGTAATTCCCAAAACTAAGAACTATGACACTCAGAAGCAACTATACAACTATCCAGCTGCTTTGCTAAGAAATTCACTCACTCACACTTCAGACAGACAAAGCCAGTTTCCAGGCCATTAAAGTTCATCTTCCACTGTGAGCACAGTGATTGTGAATTAAAAGACTAACTCTAATTAATGGTAATTACAGTCTGTCATTAGCAAACACGTGCAGACGTACTTACATTGAGATTCCAGCCAGGAACACCTATCAAATCAATACTATTATATTTGAGTGGTGTTGATATAAGTTTATGGTCATTTTGAAGGCTTAAGGTTGTCGTGTTGTTTAGTTGTAATGTGTAAGGCTTAGATAAAATAGTAAAAAATGCAGGGTGCACAATGTTCTCATTGGGCTGAAGTAACATGTGCAATTTTGTGCTTGTTGTGGCACAGTTCAAGTCTCAGATCTGACTGTCTGAGAACAGTGTCCTCCATTAACGACTGCACACGGTGCAGCAACGCAGAAAATGGGACTGCCGCTCAGCAGAGCGTGACATCACATCACTGCTTTTAGAGATGACAAAGACTGAAACCGCTCATCCCCCACAACAACGACTGATCTGCCAGCCACTTTAAAAATCAACTCCTGTTTAAAAGCAGTAATTAAGTGATGGGACAGTGGGCGGTGGACACAGACTGACAGAGAAGAGGTAGAAAGAAAACAGGATTAGATTTGCGGTTTTAACAATGTTAAACACTTTGAAGAAATGTGATAGAGCACGACGACGAAGTAGAGACCATGTCCATCAAAAATAACAGCTCTGTTGGAAGGGAAGTAAATGGCACTAATGGAGGTTCAGTCAGTCTACACATACAACAGTGCTGTTCCCTGCAGAGCCAAGGAACCAGGCCAGTCTCGTTTTGTGCCATTAACAAACTTGCACAATTAGCACCAGCGACCAGCCTTCTTGTCTGCCTAGTGATGTGTATTCTGGTTTATATACTGTCAGGGTTTTGGATTTTATTGACAATCCTTACAAATATCTGGACGGTACGGTGACACAGGGGTTACGACTGAAGCCTCAAAGCACCACCTTCCTGCCACAGTCCAAAAACAAGCAAATTGGTCTTAGGTAGATTTGAGACTCTAAATTGTCCATATGTGTGAATGGTTGTTTTTCCCTGTATGTACACTGGTGTCAGCTGGGATTGGCTCCAGCCCCTCGCAACCCTTAAAGGGTAGGCGGTATAGATAATGGATGGACAGTAGGTTAAGAGCACTGTTCACAAACCGGTCAACTGGCTGCTTGTGTCATTTCGTATGGATTATCAATTCCAGTCAGGTGGAACTTGATTGACACCTCCTGCCCGGTTGTTCTCACATTGAAAATCTCATGATGAGGCCACTGACAGAGATATTCAAAAAGATGAAGCAATAGTTCAGTTTTCTCTGTGCAGTTTGACCTTTTAAACACTGAGGAGGATGTCATGGTGTCAATTTGGTCTGATGGTTACTGGATAATGAGTTACACAATAAATATCACTTTACTTAACAACACACTGATGCGTGGTTAGGTCTAAGGAATGAAAATGACATGAGTCTACAGGAATTCATTTCACACATTCTGATTTCCTATAAATATAAATGCTGATATGCTGCTCTATTTAATGTACCTCTACGCTCCAGTATTCAGTCTCATCCTTCATGCTCATTTTGCAGGGACAAATGCACTTGCTGATGTGCTCTCTTTCTCTCTCAAACACACACACACGCACAATTTATGCAATGTAGCATAAACAGTGGCCCAAATCCACCAAAAACCTTCATCAGTCCTCATCCCAGTCTCCATAGAAACCTCTCTGAAGACTCTCAGCCTTAACAGAGAGTGCTTACAGGCAACTCTAACCCAGTAATCCATACCACCATGGTAGAGAGAGATCCTGGATTTAGCATGAATCTGCAGCTAATTGGATTTTCTTTTTTTATGTCGGCTAACTGTACGCTGGCTCTGCCTCAGCGGAGCCTCTCATAGGCTCCGGGAAGGAGCTGCAGCACAATGGCCAATAATTAGGATATTAGAGACAAAGTAAGCTAAGCAGAAGAGACACAGAGCAGCTGAAGGCCTGGCAAAATGATCTGAAAGACCCTCAATACAACACAAATACATGTACATAACTGTGTCATTTAGAATCTTCTAATCTACAGTGACATTTACTGTTGGATAAAAACCCTACTGTTGAGGGCTTTTATAGAAAAAAACATGTCCTCTACGAGTAGTGTAAAAGATAATGAATACAGGTGAGAGTTCATCGCTGAGGAGCCAATCAGATGCACCCAGACAAGCGGTTTCTGATTGGATGACTCAAAAAGCAGGAGGAAACTGTACTCCCAGTATCTAATCTGTGATTAAGTACAAGACCAGAGGGACTAACTGGAAACAAACAAACTGTTGCTGAGAGAAAACACAGACAGCAAATATTGTGCACACACAGTAACACACACACTCTTTGTCTCTTGCTTACTTTGGACGCCTGTCGATGCCATCGCTGGTAGTCTGCCAGTGTGTCGAAATTGACAAAGTACGTCTGGGCCTGTGATCCAGCCGAGCTAAACATCAGACAGTGTTGCCTCCGTTTCACCTCCTCCACCTCAATACAAAGACAATACACAGATTCAATGAGGAGCAAAATTGAGAGAGACAACACAAATGGAAGATGACCATTCTCATTAATCATTATCACAGGTGAGAAAATTGTTAAACAATAATCAACCACAGATATTCTGTGTATATCAGTCTGTGTTGTTTCAATATTCATGTTGTTATGTTTAAATTGACATTAATACCGATTTTTAATGTACCTGTCTCTGTCTTTTCTGTTTCAGTGATTGAGTTCCTAAATTTGCTAAAGGACCCCAGGAGAATATGTGCAAAACTGTTCAGTGCATCTGTGTGATCAAATTGTAGAAGAGTGTGAAGTTAACAGTGAAAAATCAGAAAATTGTGTGGAGTGAGTGAGGAGAATGTAACTTTGAAAATCTCATCAGCACAGAAATTTAAGTTGCATCTTCTTTTGTTAAATTGTTTCATTATTTAATGTGCACACACGTTTTCCTCTACGATTGTCAGACTCCTGATGGATGCTTAAACATGATCAAAATTACTGCAGATTGTAGAACAAAACATACAGACTCTTTAATTCCACTCTTAAATTTGCAGTTTTTCGCTCTAACCAACACTGGATCAAGTTACATGACTTGAGGAAATGCTACGTGTGAAGTCACAAAACACTTTTTAGCCTTTTTTTCCACTTATCTAAAGCCTCAGCTTGGTTAAGATTTGGGATCTACTGTTTTCAACAAAAATATTGTCAAAGTCCAAAAGGTCATTTGTTAATTCAGCAGGTGTACTCCATGCAAAGTCGTTCATCATCTTTTTAACTCCATCCAGCTGTTCGACCCAGCTGTGTTGTTGTAGGGTAACTACACTGAAACATGGTCTCTACCCTGGGGGAAAGTGAAATGTTAACACCTTGTCAGTTTGTCTGAACGCCAAACTCTGAACTCTCACCTTTCCCCCCACCAGGGGTAAAATGTGTAACTTCCCAGTCAGGCTGTCTTTCACAGAGGCCACGATCAGACAGGTGCCACAGAGGATGACCTTCCGCTCTGCCCACTTGTGCAGCTGTGTCTTGCCCTTCCTGACGCTGAACACACCTTTCAGCAGAGTGCGCTCCTGCTGGTCAGCGTTCACTGGAGGCTCTAGAAGAAGAGAAGAAGTTAGTGTTGATATACAGATATTCATCTAATGCAGAAGACCCCCCACACCTCCTGTGATAAACACATTTAGCAAATTAATGGCAAATGTTCCACAGGCGAAGATGAAGGATTTCAGAAAATGAAGTCATGCAAAAACTCACAGGTCAGAATGATATCACCCAAAATGTGGTTGACTCATTAGCGTAGTAATTCTAGGAACCGGTCTGACATCAGCACTGAAGGTGCTCACTGCCCCATTATCTCATATCCTGTACATCTGGATAGATATCACTGCACAATAATAGGTCTGACCTGATAATGAGACAGCTTATCCATTAAACTCCATTATTAAAAATCAAATCAAGTAACGTTGATTACAGTGCTGCTGCTGCTGCTTCTAAAGTATTTCAACACTTCTCAGTGTCCATGCATACGGAATAATATTCTTTTTCTATTCTATTTTCTATTTATTTCATTATGAAGCTACATACATTGATTCACTCAGCCCTTCCTGCATGGCCCTGCTCTCTCCCTTACTCCTTCTCATCCCAACACACAAACACACACACAGTCTGTTTACTTTGGCGACACACATTATTTATAACAGAAATGACGTATGTGTTTAGCATATAGAGCAAGGTAGTAAGATTAAATCCCATGTGGTAACAGGACTCACTCTGGACCATTCTAATGGCAGATGTGAAGTGATGAAGCAGTCCACAGTGCTTAATATGAGTCTGGAACTTTCCTTCCACTTCCTCTCCTTACTGAGCAGAGGCATCAGTCATATTAAAGGGTTTTGTCACATTAAAGGGATAGTTCACCCTAAAATGAAAGTTCACTCATTATCTACTCATCACTATACTGATGGAGGGGTGGGTAAAGTGTTTGAGTCCACAAAACACTTTTGGAGTTTCAGGGGTAAACAGCGTTGCAGCCAAATCCAATACAATTGAAGTCAATGGCGACCGACCCTTCAAACTAAATAAAACATAAAATGCCTCCATGCTGCTCCTGTGGTGTCATCCAAGTGTCCGTAAGCATATTCGACTTGATAACCATGTTTTTAGCCTAAACACACCTTTTTTTCAGTTGTTTTTTTACATGGTCACCAGTTACCTTAATTGAATTGGATTTGGCTGTTATGCTGTTTACCCCTGAAACAAAATTGCTTCGTGGACTCAAACACAAGTGAACTATCCCTTTAAGCTTCTATCTTTTCAGTTAAATGATGCCAACTTGCACAACACACAGCCTCAGCTGGTCCATGCTGAAGGACACACCCGGCATGTGCAGCTGTCTCTGCCAGCTTCAAGTACACTCAGGTTAATGGCAGGTCGGATAAGCACAAAGGAGACACAGCCTTGACCTCATGACCTCTGTTGTTACATTTTCCTCAGAACAACGTACTGTATGCTGCCTCCCACTCTGCAATCTGCTCTCTCTCTCCCCTCTCCCTCGATCTTTCTCTCTTCCCTTTCCCTTCGCATCCAAATGAAACGAAAACCTCCACATGTTTTTCTTCACCAGGGAAACTGACGATGAACAAGCCAAGTGCTTCTCACAACAAACTGGCTCCATGGCAGATCGATAGCAGCAGCTGATCCTTAGGTGTCCCCCTGACTCAGAGAGGAAATTAGAGACACAAACCCTTACAGCATCAATGCCGGGTAGTATAGAGATATCTAATAAGGGAAATTTACGTAATTCCGCAAACGTACATCAATAACAAGTTGACAGGATCCCCTCACTTGCTTCACAGCACATCACCAGCAAAAGTCCACTCCACACCAAGACTTGATATGCTGTCAACGTGCCACAGTATAGACTTAAATACAGGATACTACCACACAAGCTGATCTACCTTTAGATGAACAGCTATATTGCAAGAGACAGTTATTAAACAGCCCTAAAATCAGCTAGAAGTGGTTTAGTTAAAGGATTCAGAGCCGTATCTTAATATACAAGCTATAATGTCCATATATCTAGACATATAATCTATCTCTATGTAATTGTTATAGCAACAAATAGCTAACCATTGTGATGATGTTTTCACGTTGACATATGGTTCCCTTTGTATAAGAATGTATGTTTTCTTCCCATACAATTCAACCTTAACTTCATCAGTCTACAAAACCTTCCCTTCCTTCAGCTGCTGTTTGGTTGTTTCACTTTCAATGGCAAGTGCCCTGAGAGTGGGAAAAATATATGCATGCCCAGAGACAAATGGCAAAGATCTGATGCTAAATGGGCCACACTGCCTGTTGCCCTACTGCTATTTGACAAACTATTTGCTAATTTGCCAGGACAAATGTATATAATTATACATTTAATAATGTTCTACAGCATTTAATTAAACATCTGATGATGTTCACCTGCTGAGCAACACTGTTAAAAACCAAGCTGGTAGAAAATTGGGTCAAAAAAGACAAAAAGGCTTTTAATTTTCCACATATGTTATTTAGAACTTGTATGGTACTCATGGTGCATCCTGTCCAAAGTCATTGTATTCCTATGCACACAACATTTTACCTTTTTACTCCCATATCAATACAGCCACTTGTCTGAAAACCAATAGCCCATTTATGCAAACAGGTCCCAGAGAGCGAACTTCTAAAACAAACACATGCTATCCCTCAATGTCTATAGGGCTGTTAGTTGCCTGGGCAACAGCTTGCAAACTAAATCAAAGTCCAACGAGAGTCTGTAAACTTCCATCATGTCTCCAGTAATCTGTAACTGCTCTGCAGAAAACAAGCAAATCTATCCCATCCCACGAATGACGAATATTGGTGACCGTTCCCAATGGCTCCAAAGGGGTTAAGTGACATGGTCGTAAATTATGTGTAAAAACGTTTTCTGTAAATGCAGTGGGGATCTGAGGGAGAGGCCGGGCTGCCTCCATTGAACGACTCATCAAGCTGCAGCAAATGTCCTCCTTGGAGAAGCTGCCAAACCACAAGGACAGTGTGACAAGTGACAGATCAGAGAGTTGGTACGACTTCATATCTCTCAAGTGTGGCAGCAGCTTTTGCTCGCCTGCAAACATAGTGACATCCCGCTTAACATGGCAATTCCAGATTAGCAACAAGGCTGCAACAGGTCAAATCCTGCTCCCTTTTCCTTGAAGAACGAAATGAGCAGAGAGACAGAAGGAAGGGATAAATAAAGTTGGAAGGAATAAAGGAACTAAGAGTAATATGAAAGGTGATGAAAAGTAAGAGAGGAAGTGAACTGAGGAACTTGAACAGGGTGGAGGAGTAAAGAGGAATTGGTAAAACAGAAACCATTTGTCAAAATATATCATGACAGAAGAATAAAAATGAGGTAACTTTGTGTCTTCACATCTATTTCTGTAACTATGTATTGATATATTCATAAATTCATATCACTGCTCTATTCATAAATGGAGCAGCAAAAAATAATCATAATCAGAAAAATAATAAGAAAATCTTATAAGTTATTTTTCAAGCACTTATTTAATGGTTCCTTCTTTTTTTAAGCTCTGGGAAACTGTGATAAAGATTTAAACTGTTTTCTGATGATTTATAGACCTTAACAATTAATTGAGAAAATATTCTGCACCTGAATCGATTAATGTCACGATGATGATATGAAGGATTTGTAAGTTGCAGCCCTAATTCAAATGATAAAGACGAGTAGGTATGTTTAATTCAGAACGATCAACTGCATGGCGGCATGCATAATATATTTCTGCAAAATTCCTTTTCAAAGCAAGTCTGTGCACTCAGTCAGTATCAACACAGAGTTAGCACCACTCTGTTCAAAGTTCTCCTGCAAACCAATTAAGAGAAAATGAACGCTGAGGGAGGATCGGGAAAATTACTTTTACCCCAAAAACTAGAAAAACTGGCCATTTTGTGCTTTAAGACTGAGAGACTGGAGGGTGTTTACATTGTTTGATCTGTTTTTAATCACATATTGTTGTAACTGTTGAACAATCATTGCTGTATCCCAGAGCTTTATGTCTTGCACAGTTTTGTAGCCGGCGTTAGCATGCTGCAGGGGGTCACCATGGTCGGATTTGACTTAGAACAGGAAGCTCGTTATGGCAACAAATTCAAATTCAACCCACCACCCAGATGCCTCCTCTTGGTGGTATGTGTGTACCTCTATTTGAAAAAACTCTTTGTGCGTAATATGGAGAGCCTGCACTGAGTGGAGCAACAGATGGAAGACACAAAATGAAGAGTGCTTCTGAATACAGATGACAGTAAAACAGACCATTAAAAAGATGAATGTCTCTCAGCAGCAGTAAGCCATCTGACTTGAAAACTGACCATGAGTCTGGAGACAGTCTGCCAGTTTGAAATGGCAAACAGGAAATCCTCCAGAGAAACAGAACTCCATCACAAAACATCATTTTATGAGGAGCTGGCAGGAAACCACGGAGAGCCCTCTCTCTGCAGAGCTCCCTTGCTTGGGGCGATTTTGTGGGAACCTAGATCTGAATAGAAATTCATTTTTCTCCTACACTTCATTCTGACTGCTTCTCCACTTTTTTTGTCCATGTGAACCAATTCCCCTCTCAAGCGTAAAATGAAGAAGCAAGCTTGTGCTGGTTTGTCCTGTTCCTCCAGGACATGATTATTTTGATGAACCACTGGGCCTCAGAGTTTAAAACGTGACTTCACCATCCATGTCATAACATCTTAGGACATCCAAACATCTCATTTAGGTTTCATTTCCGCTGGTAAATCAGCACCGGCCAAATCAATAACTCATTAGGTGACTTCAGACTGCTCGTAGATGACCTACTTCTGCTCTGACACTGACACTGGGCCTGACATGAGCTGTGCACAGCAGCTTCAGCTCTCGGAGCTCAGAGACAAAGATGTAAGAGTGAGATCACCCAGGCAGAGGTGGACTGGGGCCCGGTGGACCAGCGCCAGTGCTTACAGCAGGCCTCGTCTGTGCTGCAGCTGAATGGCCGACACAGAGAAACACTGGCCCTCAGGTCTCTGCGGTTGTTTTCACTAGAAGAGCTTTTTGATTAAGTCGGCATTTGGAGTGTTTACTCATTTAACCATGTTTGTTTTCATCTCATCGGTGCACCTCAGCAGGAGGGTGTTTGGATGGGAAGTAGGAGGGTGGAGAAAGTTCAAGATGAGTTTCCTGAACAAATAAGAGGACGGTGAAGTTTAATAATTTACCTGCTGTATTGCACTTTGAAACAGTGGAAGGACTCGAGATGAAAAGGGCCCAAAACAATTCAACTAATATGGGTATGCAGACAAATGCACACATGCAAATGACACAAATCTTTAAAATAAAAACATGCCTTCTATTAGCAAGTAGATCACTGACTTATTATAATTTAATACGTATAACCCTGCACAGCTAGATTCCTATTAGCCTAAATGCAGAGCTGACACGCACAGTGCACCACATTAGTCGATTCTCTAGCAGATGCTGTAGCGAAATGAGGATTTTCCATAAATCAGGGGCCACAATTCCCACAAAGCGGCCAATTATACGTCGTACATCCATGCAGAGTATCTGATTCAGTAAGGTGCACATTAAAGTCGCTCCTTGTTTACTGTTTTTGACAAAGCCACACATCATTGAATATATTTTGAAAATTGCTCCTCGTTCATGCTTATTGTTTTCTTCAAAAAGGCTTTGAAGATCAAAAGGCATAACAACTTGTCACATTTATTGTTAGTATTGTTCGTAAGTGACGATAGTTTATTAAAAAGACTTCAGAGTCCTCTGAGCAGACAAAGACCTTCCTGAGGGGCCACAGTTTTCCTTTATCTGCTTAGTGAGATCATTACCACTGACATTTCAAAAAACAATAGGCTGTTGTTGTGTGTTTTAACAATGCAAACAGAAGCTGTATGACTCATAAGCTCCTAAATAGGTAGTTCCATATACTGAGATAATATAAAACAAGCTACCAGTTAATTTCTCTTCAGTTCTTTGGGAATCAATTGGCCAAATCAAGTTGTCTCCTTGGTGTTAGCTGGCTATTGAGAGTGTCTGAGGACCAGTCATGCTACTGGTCCTCTTTCCCATGAGTTGACAAAAAGAGGCAGGAAGTTTCCACGGAACCCAGATTCCAGCCAATGTGGCCTGGCCACAGATAACAGCCAAGATCCGTTGTTATGTTGGCAAGAGGCAAACAAAAGTTCCACTGGATGCACAAGGACGAGGAATAAGAAAGAGGTGGCAAGCTTGAGACCTGAACACTAAACAAACAATCAGTTTTCCGACCCAGCCGATATAAAGATGAAGCTGTAATACTAAAGAATCTTGCTAAAGTTAGAAAAAAACAAAATAAGACAATGTGGTGTTCACTTGTCGATGAAAGATAAAGTAGGACATGGTACTGTACTGGACACAGACGTTTATGATTCATTTTCATTCATTTTCCCGAGTACTAAATCTTTCCACAGTCTGGGTTTTTAATGTGTCCTTGCGTGTCTCATCAACCAGGTAATTTCAATGCAGAGTGTGTTCGTGTTCAGCGTCTATGTCTATTCATTTCAGTGAGTTGTGTACTTTATGTGGGTGGAATTACATGTGAGCCCTTCAGATGATGTGGTTTGTCTTCCTCTTTCTCTGGCTAGGCAGCATGTGAGCCGTTCCAACCCAAAACAGGAGGAGTTCCACTGACTCAGCAGAAACATCAGTCAGTTGATTAAATTAAAAAACATCACACAACAGAATTTTTACACTTAATGGCCAATCCTTTAATTGTCACTACTGTAAGAGTATCATTAGACCAATGCACAGGCTCAAACAAGTCTGTGGGCTGTATTAAGATACATTCAAGTCCTGTGCACAGCTCATATCAGGCCTAATGTCAGAGTCATCCAAATTTGTCCTCGGTTTCTACAAGGAGTCACATCCATTCTGCGACTGCATTGATAAATCCAGTTCATATATCACACTGACACAGGGACATTTAATCACTCCAGTCCTGGGGTCATGGGAGAGTGTTGACAGTCGGAGGTGAAAAGATGCCCACATGGGGATGGAGAAACACCAGGATGAAGGATGGTCACTCCCTCACCATGAGGCCATGATGGGAGTGTGTTTGTATTTCAGGCTATAATGAATATTGGTCTCAGAAAAACACAACTCTCAGACAGCCTCAAATAACAACTTCACTTTTGCCCAGAGGTAAATACCCACTGAAGTTATTCACTGGGTATACTGAGTGTAAGTGCACAGTTTGTTTTTAGGCCTTTAGGTCAGTTTTCAGAGGACGACATCGGGATCCCAGTGAGCAGCATCAGATAGGGACGATGGAGGATGATATCCCCTGTGTGTCAGTACTCACCGCTGTAGAAACGGATCAGACAGCTGAGGTCTGAGTTGGCTGCTTCTTGCTGCACCCGGACAGGGTCTGCATAGCCCATAGACGCCAGGTAGTCATACAGAATCTGGAGCGGGCGCTCCGAGGGGTCCAGCCTCCTGACGAACAAGAAAAAACAGAGTGGTGTGATGATGACCACCGCACAAAACGACAACACCAGTTTCTTATACGGGGATTACATGTAATGAAACATTACAATAAAGGTGGACAGTTTGAAGTTAATCGCCATTAAAAGAAGAGTCCGGGTCAATGTTCACGATGACTAATCTGTTTTAATTATTCTACTTGTCCAACAGGCCTTTTACCCTTTATCTTGTTAGTAGTGATAATGTATTTGAGTTGTAAGTGATCAAGCGACAGGGTTCACCGAACCTAACTGAGGTTAAGTTTTTTTCTGGTTCCTCGCCGTACAGAATGTAGAGCAGATAAAAGCAGATCACATGGGATTTGTGTGCACATTGGCTGGCTTCACTTTACGTGTCAAAATGAGGAGCTTAGTGATTTGGGAGACCTGTGGTATCAAGCTGCTAACCCCTCTGTGAAGAAACAGCTGAGGTGTCAGGGAGCCCCTCTCTGGGAGCACTCTGGGCATGACAAACTGCAGGGGAACCCCAGGGATACCCAGGACATGTCAGAGCATAGGAATTATATATCCCATTCCCCTCTCCCTTTATAGCACATGCCCCTGAGCACCACTAGGGCCTGGCACCTCTGAAGTCCTCCAAACTAGTTCCCTCAAGACTTATTCTTATCAGGTCTTCCACTGTGTCCACAGGCAGGGACCCTCTGACATCATCATCTGTGCTGAGAATCCTGTCATCTATTATTCTGAAATTGGCTATTCTGCACTTTTACTTTTGTTTGTTTGTTGTTGTTAAGTACATGCTGATTAGAGCTGGTTATCCCACTGATTTCTACAATACTAATTTCACCTGGATATGAAAGAAATTCTCAGAGACCTAAAGCTGTAAACTGTGCAAGGAAACATTATTGAAAACATTTAGGTAGACCTGTCATGATAACACATTTTGTTGGATGATATATTGTCCCAGAAATGATTGTGACTAATGATATTATTGTTGTAATTTTGAAATGATGATAAATTTAAAAAAATAATCCTGCAAGTCCAACGTTTCATCAAGAAATAAACTTTGAATTCTTAAGAAGAATATTTAAAGAATAGAATAAAGAAAGAATATTAATATTTAAAATATTTAAATAAATAGATAAACTATAAAATAAATAAACCACATACAACCAAAACCAAAAAAATATGTGTAAATGCAGTCTCATAAATTCTCGAGTGAATCAAACAAACACTAGGTAAACTTCATGTACTGATCGGGTCTTAATAACTTGTGATGAGTGTTTGGGTTTATGAGTTAAAGTGAGTGCAGGTCAACAGGAGAGTGCAGGGAGGACACTGGAAACTGTGTGTGTGTACGCTGATGATTTAAAATTAGAACGGGGGGGCATATTTGCCAGTCGCACTGGTGCGTCTATAGTTAATTTAGTCGCACTGTCTCAAAAAACAGTCTCAAAATGTGACTAAATGGTCGCAGTCTGGAGCCCTGCCATCTTTCTTGGGGGCAAGTAGGGATCCCCATAGAAGAGCGTGGGAAAATGAACGATTGCCTCTCTTCTCACCCTGTTGGCACCGTGAGTCTGATCTGGATAAGTGGCTCAAAGATGTGTGAATGGGGTGGGGGGTGGGGGGTGGGCGGATGTCGTCCATCAACTCAGTAAATTTATCTTAAAATGGAATTTGTGTGACTGAAAATAAAAATGTTCCCAATGCAGGAAAGAAACCAGAGCAAGTCTTCCTGTAAGCAGCACATTACTACAAGCTATAAAAAGAAAATCACTAAAAACAGCTTCCATCCCTTCCATCATGTCCTTACTTACAAATCCTTCTTCAGCTCTCGTGTCACCAGCTTTGTATGCGTACTTCAGAGTACGGGCATATATTGTCAATCACAGTAATAAAACGTATTACACATGGAATGTTTATCTCACAGACTTTATGAAATATTTACACAGAGAGAAAAACTAGAGGTCAGTTTAAGGTTAAACATAAATGCAGCTCTTGCTCCTGTATTTTCCATTGACCTACTTGTTCAATGCATTTAATGCAACCCTGACTTGTCTGTATTGTATTATGGATGTGCTGTATATAGGAATGTAGACATTTCTTTCTCTGAACAGAAATCCTGGTTTTCTTAAGTCTCCAGTAGCCTGTGTTGGATGGAGAAGACTTCTAATATTACATTTAAATCCACCTGATCATACACAGGCAGACTACAATTTAAGCTCAGCACTGCTTGAATATAACCTGACCCAACACAGCCTATCCACAGGCTTACCAGAAGCCTCTCATTTATTGCCTTTCTTCATCACTCTGCAATGCCCACGGCTTTTAATCAGCGTACAAATAATGAACTGGGTCCATATGCTGTTGATTGATCATGCCACACAGCAAAATCATGATCAATCTCAAGTCATGTTTCTCCAGCGTGTCTGTGGCATGATCTTCCAGCTTCCAATGCTACTAACACAACCTTTTACTGGTCTCAATCAACAATACACCTACTGGCTTTAAGATTTTGCTGCGTCAACATCCCACATCATTTAAAAAACACGGAGCAGACAGTGAGACTCACAAAGAACACGCTGTAAGCCACTGCAATTTAAGCTATAGCGGTTTTGTTATTTTAGACTCTCCCGTCTAATATCTTCACGTTGGCTTTCTCCCAAAAGCAAAAGGAGGAACAGCCCAGATTCCTTGGTCACGGATCAGTGAACCAGCTTTTTATCCTTTCACAGATAATCAAGGGGTCATTTGCTATTTCTGTCTCCATATGTCTTCTGCAGCTGAGAGAGGCGTAGAGTCACGTTCCCTGAGGGTATCCTGGCTGAGACGCTCTGAGAGCATGGGATGTTACGATAACTGCAGCAGGTCCTAACCGCTGCGTTTGCCCACTTTGCAAAACTCAAGCTTGTTCATGGTGACTTGTGGTTTTCAGGGACAGGATATCAAGTAAATTCTACGGCCTGGTGTATTTCTTATATAATATAAATAAGAAAAAGATGTGGATATTTATCAAGAAACATGATCCTTCTAAACTGTTTTTGTTGGATGTCAGTGGATGTCATGAATCCCGTTTCTGTCGTGTTTATTTGTGTCTAATGGAAGAGATCCGTTTTAATGAATGCAGCTGTCTAAACCTGCTGCGTAACAGCTCATGTTTCCCTCGCACTACACAAACACATAACCACAACCCAGAGCATCTTTCTACGCTTCATGTCACGTTTTATTTCTTTCACTTTTTCTAGTGAGATTACACATTAAGTTGAAAGGTGCTTTGTAGTGCACAGGAATACTGTACTGACTGGATGCAATGATGACACTAATGCAGAGCTGCAGTTGATGGATACTGGATGCATGTGTTTTCCCATTAAGAGAAACTGATACAGGCTTATCCCACATTACGGTGTTGCTCTAAAAGGGCTGTACGGTATTTGCAGCGCTCCTGCCATGGATCTGCACCAAAGAAGACACTATAGATTCTGAACTACAGTTGGTCCCTCGGGAGCCATCTAACTTTTTTATTATATGCATTTCTCAGATTTATAAGATATGAAACTCAACATAGTGTGTCTTTACCTGACAAGATCTCCGTGCAGCTGAACATAAAGTCCCTTTCCATCCCTCTGAGCGCACAGCTCCTCAACTGTGGTGCTGGTGGAGCAAAGCACCAACTGCAGGTCGGTCTGAGGGGTGGAGGAGGCCTGAGGGCCGGAGGCAGGAGGCTGAGGGTCCGCGGTTGCGCCGTAGAGACACACACAGCCCCGCTGGGTGTGCCCCTTCAGCCAGTCCCGTTCTCGTGACCCAAATCTGGTCTTTCTTGTCACACAGCCGCGACTCCCATTCCGCTTCATGTTGCGCTGCTGACACAGAGAGAGACGTTTTAACAGCGTGAAGAGCTTGAAGCTGGTTCAACAAATAACAAACTGGAACAATACCTATGCTGTGGAATTAAGTGAATTTGACACTGCCTGAAATTGGTGCAGTGGTGTACGGCAGGAGAGCCCCTCCCTGCATGTTTTTTACACCAAGATACAAATAATCAATGTTTTATAATCATTATTCAGTCATTGGCAAACTACTTTGAGCGGGGAACCATGACGAGTGGACATATTCAATGATAAATTACTTAACAGAATAACTATGTGTTGTTTATGTTTACTTTTATTTTAAATATTTTTGTTCTTTCAAATAATTGTACTTTTTACTTTTTGATATGATTAGCTCTGCTCAGGAGGTTATGCTTCCACCGCTGTCATTGGTTGGTTGGTCGGTTTGTTTGTTGTAAGCAAGATTACACAAAAACTACTGAATGGATTTGGAGAAAATAATTCATGGATCTTGATGAAAAAAAATCAGGCACAGTTAGGGGACTGGTATCTATGAGTGTGTGAAATTTGGTGCAGCTTGGTTAAATTGAAGGTGCCTGTCTGGTCTTGGCGTTGTAGGCTGCCTATCAAGTGTCATAATAGTTTTTGTTCTTATTATTTTGTGAAACTTCTGTAACGACAACCTTCTGAATGAAGCACTGCCGCTCGCTGCTGTGGAGTTGTTCAGAGGACGACGTCAGATGTAGCAGACAGCTGTGACCATGTGTGCATGTGAAGCAGGGCCATGCTGAATAAGAGCGTGCATGTTCAACCAACCAAACCTGAATCAGAAAGAAGAGGATATATGCTGTGTATTTTCCTTCCTCCCTGAGAGAGAGGAGATTTGTAAATGGCTGGCCAGGCTCTGTTTCTCAGTTAGTTGTAAGGAGGTCCCTTCTGGACTTATTGATCATTGCAGTATGTGCGTATCTACAACACAAACTGCATCTGGTTCATCCACAAATCAACAGACATCGACATATTTTATCATGAGGGAATTTCTTTACTGCAAAACACTGGATTCTTTTCTGTCTTTGTGAACAGGCAGAAAATTTAAAAATAACACTTTCCCTTCACTGTTGACACTGACTGAATTATGGTTTCACAGCATATATCTATGAGCAGAAACACTGAATGGAAAAAATCAACATTAGAGTCATGGCAGTATGAGCTTGTAAACAGGGTGACCTGTTTTACCGGTATGACTTTTAATGTGCTCCCTCCTTCAAATACAATAACGGAAACATGTGTACACAATAAATTGAATTGCACTGCCGAGATTATGTGTGCCTATGTGTGCTTGTGTGTGTGTGTACATGTGTGTGTGGTCCAGGTATTATGTGTATTGTGGGGATCTAAATCTGTTAACACAGTCACATTGTGGTGACATGCTCAAGTTACCATAAAGTAAATTATAACACATTACATTTTAAGGTGAAGACAGGTTTTAAGGTTTAGTTTTAGGTTAAAGTCTAGATTAAGGGTATGGTTAGGTTAAGGTTAAGGTTGACCTTAGAATAGGTCTCCAGAAAAATCAATGTAAGGCCTTATAATGTCCTCTGATGTCATGGAGACACAACTGTGTGTGTGTGTGTGTGTGTGTGTGTGTGTGTGTGTGTGTGTGTGTGTGTGTACTTAAGGGACTTGTATGTTACATCATTTTTCTTGTCTTAAAATGTCATAGACGAATTGCTCAGAAGTGCAGGGCCTTCTAATGGCAACCTTCCCTGTGTGTGCGTGCGTGCGTACGTGCATGTGCGTGTGCATGCGCTACATTCCTCACTGGATGACAGTCATCTCCAGATCAATCATCAATCAGCTGATACACAGCATGTTACGTAATACTAATGCGAGGATGCGTTCCACTTCAGTTGGAATCAGCCACTGCAGTGACAGAAAAACATGGAGAAACAGTCCAGAGTGAATCAGCAGAGGAGCAGCCTCCTCTTCACTCACCTTTAACACTCGGATCCCCGTCGCAGCCCCGGGACCACTGCGGCTGCCGCGACCCGCAGTCTGATCCAGCCCCGCTTGGTGGACCACCTTGTCCGGCTGCCTGTCGATGCAAGCCCCGCTATCCCCGACATCCCCTCCCTTCTTGGCGGTGCCTGTTTGGGTGTTGTTATTCGCGACGACCGCCGCGTTAACGTCCTCGTCCTCCATCGCCATGTCTCGTCCCTCCCATCAGCAGCGGCCGAGAGCGAGAGGCGTGCTGCGGGTACGTGACTGGCAAATTCCCGCGGAGCAGTGAGGACTCGCCCGGTGTCGGTGCAGCGCCGCCATGTCCACGGTGACTGAGCGCTGTCAGACAGGCCGGAGAGAGCCCAGCGAGAAACAGGACGGGGGCGGGATCAGAGGATTAGACAGCAGCCACGGCCCCTTTCTCACAGGGAGAGAGACATCCAGTGTTACATCCAGTGTTACATCCAGCATCAGTTCACCACGGTGACATCACGATGAGCCATCCTAGGGAGTGATCTTATATTATATTTTTCTGTTAAAGGGAGAGTTCACCCACAAATGAAAGTTCTCTCATCATCTCCTCACCACTGTGTCGATGGATGAGTGGGTGAAGTGTTTGAGTCCACAAATCACTTTTGGAGTTTCAGGTGTAAACAGTGTTTGCAGCCAAATCAAATGCAACTGAAGTGAACAGTGACCTATTCTTCCAACGTAAAAGAATAAAAACATAGAATGCCTCCATACTGCTCCTGAGGTGTCATCCAAGTGTCCTAAACCTCCACTCCAAGTTTCTACCAAAGTGTCCTTTGATGTCTGTGTGTATTCCAGCGAACATTTAGGCTAAAAACGTAAGTTACATCAAAGTCAAATTAATTAGATGAAGTTTTCTGTTGTATGAAGACTTGGTCGCCATTGACTTCAATTGTATTGGATTTGGCTGCAACACTGTTTACTCAACACAAAAGTGTTTTGTGGACTCAAACACTTCACCCACCTCCCATCGGCATAGTGGTGATAATGAGTGAATTTTCATTTTTGGGTGAACTATCCCTTTAATGTTTTTTGTTATCTTTCACTGTATAACGTCAATATTGATAGAATATTAAGTGTCATTTTGTAAACTTTTATAAATGTTTTCAGTGAATTGTAACATAATATTATGCCTAAATATTTCAAAAAGGGTATAAAAATCGAATGCATTATATATTTTTTATAAATAATGTCTCCCTCTATTTACATTTTATAATGATACAATATTAAAATGTATGAATTGCATATATATTTATTACAAAATTTTAAAATAAAAGTTTTTTTTAAATGTAGACAAACGTTACATAGGAGGTAGACGTTATTCAAAATATAAAATAACATTTTGCAATGCTATAGAAGAGATGGCTCTGGGATATGGTTTAACATTCTATTGAGATAAAATAAATTAATGATTATCAAGAAAATTTGTATATGATATGTTATACAGATACGTGTGTGGCTTATGAGAGATGAAAAGTCTGGAAATCCCAAAGGGCAAAAACCCAAGTGGTATGAATTTAATGAAAAGCACTCCAAGCAGCACATCTTCTCACACTTCACTTTAATTCTGAATAACTAGCTCAGTAAGAACCTTTGTGGCGCTACTGGATTAAAATTAAAGGCAGCTACATGGCTGCTGGTTGTTCATAAAACAATCATAAATCTGATTATTTCCTCATTTTCATTTATTAATATTTTATCATTTATCTATCTATCTTTACCATAGACTGTTGACATGACTGTGTTCCATATTGTAAAAAAAAATTCTAAACTGCCTCTCAATGATAAATAACAGCCATCTGAACAAAAATTGATTTTAAAAGTGTTCATCACTAAAGCTGATTATTTAGGCATACAGAATGTTGTCTATATAGTCTAGTGAAATAAAAAAATCTGTTGAACTAGGGGTGGGCAATAGTGATTCAATCTGTTTGATTAATTTATATTGCAATACTGTGCATTTTCAGTCAAATCAAAAGAATTTAGAACAATTTTCAGGCAAGAATACCACTTTATCACATATATGCAAAACTCATGCAAACTCCTATTCTTCTGTTTGGCCACTGATGACATTTAACTATTACAACAAAAAAGTAAAAACCGAAAGTGCAAACTACTGTAAATTATATCGTAAAATCTTGGTTGACAGATTTCCTCATATTTCCGCGCAGCACTCCTTTTGATTAAATCAGATTATTACACCACACCCCAAACAAAAATAAAAAAACAAACTACCATAGTTCAACTAGATTTTTATTTGACTTTATTCGCTTGATCATTTTCTCCAACCCAAAGACAAGAATACACAGCATAAATTGAAAATATCCCATTTAATAGTTTACAACTTCTCATCTTTAATCATCTTTTCATACTTTCAGTCTGACATTCACACTCACCTTGAATCCATGGAACTGCTGTTCAGTTCAACATGTCAACTCGACTGGAAAAAAGTGAACCTTACATCTCCACCCTCCCCCCCGACAAATCAGATACCATATTGTTTTACAGTCAGGACAGGCCTGGGGGGGGGTAACAAACATTTTGTTTTCAAAATACAATGTTTGCATTGTTTGTTTGAACAGGGAAACTGAACATGGTCGCAATTCAGATGCTCTTCCAAGCCCTTAACACACTGAATTCACCACCCAACAAATAAAAAAAACAAAAAACAGTTTTCCAAATAATCCAAATGATGGATGTGTACTTTCAACACCCTCTTAAAAACATTAACAGTATTGTGAGCACTATCTGAACAACATCCTATTGTACATGTTAGTCCTGACCCATGAAGGTGGTGTGACCAATTTTTATAGTTTGAACTTGTCTTGCATTTCAAAAAGAATCTCAGGCCAAGAGTAGAAATGACATTATTTACACTGGTTTTCACATGCAGCTCAGAAGCTGAAAGTTGAAATTGCAGCCCAAAAAAAAAAATCATGTCCTATCTAGATAAGACATGTCACACACCGTCTCTCGGACATCACTTCTTCTTCTCTCACACACTCGCACACGCACACACACAGTAATATAACTTCAAACGCTGATCACACCGCTGATGGGTATTTGTTTCAGTTTCTTTTCTTCCTTTTAAGTTACACTGTCCAAAGCACTTATGTTGGGTTCATTTCCATTTATACATTTAAAACGCCATGGATTACAGTTTCATTAGAAAGAACTCAGATCAGATGTGATTAACAAGGGTACATACTGGATGAATAGGACAATACAAACAACACCAACAAAAACATTCAGGAATAGATGTAATGAAACTTCCTTTCCCATCCTATAAGCCTTCCGTTTTGCACAGCTCCCCCTTGTGGTTATTATCTTGTAGCACAGGCTTGTTCTGAGCAGCACTCCACAAAAACAAAACAAAACAAAAAAGCAAAAAGAATTGATCCATTGCCTTCCTACTACACATTGTGCTAAAATAGTGAGGGCTCAGATTATTCTGATATGATGGGTTACAGCCCCACCTTTTATTTTAGCAACAAAGAAGCTGCAAGGTGTGTCATGCAGAGGTGATAGAGGGATGAGAGTAAAGAAAGGAAGTCAAAAGAAAACCCTGCACTGTTCAGACCAAGGGAAGGACACGGTCACTCCAAACATGCATATGAGGAACCACTTAGGACACAAAAAACAGCACAAGTATCGGCTCTTGTCGTGATAAAACTCAATTCCAATTCAAACCCACTGGCCATATTGTGGCCAAAGAAATCAGTGAGGATAGAAACCTCCTCATGTGGCCTTGAGACATGATGCTTGTATGAAGGTGCTACATGCCAGACAAAAAGGCAACCTTGTAATCAATGAGAAGAGCCACGTAAACGAGGGGCATCAATTCACAAATCAATTTGTAGGTAGATGACAGTTATAGTGATGTGAATTGTCGAGAGAAGAGAACACCAAACCGCACACAAGGCCAGAGGGAAGAGTTAGATCCTGGCAAGAAACCTGCTCCTCTTCAACAGAGGGCACAGACACATGAAGAGTTAGAGGGGCAGGGAAGCAGATGAAGTAAGGTGCCACTTCTGCCGCTGCGCAGCACTGTGCTTAGGTTTCTCAGTAGTACAGTACATTATTCAGACAGATTCGACCCATATCTCAACATCCAAGGGAACCCAAACAAGTAGCCTACCTACTCGCTGACTATCCTCCTAAAAGAAGTCAAGATGAAACATCTGATCATGAATGAAGTGTGAAGAATAGTTAATCAAGTGAAATGTAGCTCATTGCATCCTTTTTTAAGATTCTGTTTTGTACATATATGCATACATTTATACGTCCTAGCTAATCTTTTAATTCTTCATGTGGGTTTTATTTAATCAGATCAGATTTGTTTGTTTTACAACTATATACAATGTACAGTGAGCAGATCATATATCTTTCACAATGAATTATTGACGATACAGGGAAGTCGCAGACTGATGTTGACTGGATCGATTTAGACAATATACATCAGGAATATTTTGAATTTTAGAAAATGGTGTCTAAAAAAAGGATGAAAGATAGTACAAGAGACAAAATTGTAAAAGCCCTCAATATGTACAGAAAAAAAGCCAATATAGCATTTGTCAACAACAGAAAAAAGTTGAACTGAAATAATTTTCTCCATATACACATATCATAGCTCAAAAATATTTCCAAAGCTAATAGCCTCTCTGATTTGGTCACAGAAGTTAGAAGATCGTGAAGCATAGTGAAAAGAAGAATACAGCCTGATTGAACATCTGAGGATCTCAACACAGCATCACAGGGCTGCTCAGCTTGTTAAGTAATGGACGTACACACTACCAATAGTTACTCTCGTGCAGACGCTCCCCTTGATTGCAATTCATGACTAAACAAAGCAGTCACTCTACTGCCACTGAAGGTTAACAGAAAGAGAGAACATCGTGAGGTATTAGGGTTACTGTCGCCGACAGCGTGGTCAGAATCTGATTTAAAGAAGACGAGAACAAAGTAATCACACCAACAGTCACCACAGAACAACCCGTACCTCACCATGTGATCCACACTCACTTCAATGTTTGTCGACGATGACGCTTCACTTCAGTAGAACATTTATATTTTTTAAAAACACTCTAAACATCGATGTCAGCTTATGAAAAGTTTACATCTAATAGCTGCCATAGTCTAGAAGATTTTCCTTGTTTTTAGGACTTTTTATTAATAATATCCAATTGGTATTTTTTTTAATTCTGCCACACAGTATAGGGGGGGACGATCAAGCTCTTGAAGCTGTAATTTAAGTTTTTTGTCTAATCCAAACTGTGAACATCCGAGTATGTAACGTAAAACTTCTGTGATGAAGTGATACATCAATTCCAAACAATCAGGGACCATTTCTCTCAGATTGAAAACACAATCAGCACACAAGCAAACTTACAAAGCTCATACAGAACTCAAGAGCTTAGGGGCTTTTATCTAGCTAAGTCAGAAAGGCACATCACTTCGATATCAGGCATAAATAATTAAGTCAAATTACAGCAGAAATAAAAGTTTCACAAAAATAGTGCCAATAAGATGAGCGTCCCCATCAAAGAAGACAGCCATGAAAAAGAAGACTTGAGGGAGAGAGGAGAGAAAAAAGCATTCAGTGCATGTAACTACATTCATAACAAGCTTCATTTACATGTATGTGCATGGTGACCAAGTTCAACCAGGTTAAATTAATCTGAAATGTGTCCAAATTGCAAGCAAGCTAGACTGTGAGGACAAAGATGCAGGAAAGGTTTAAACATAGAACCCCAACACAAATGCAATCAACATGTCTTCAGATAAATTTCAGGCATGGATTAACTCCATCCTAATGAGTGAACAGCCTCAAACTATGCAAAGCAATTATCTGTTGAATTTAATATACACATCTAGAACTAAAGCTACAGATGAGATGATTTCAGGAGAGCTGTGTGGACTGAGTATCTTCTCTACCCGCAGGTGATCAAACCGGGCATCTCGGATCGCTTCATGCCCATAGTGCCCATTGCGACAACACAAATGTAGACGACTTCCTATAGAAACATAGGATAAAGAGATCTACTACCAGAGAATCCCCCCGAGCTCGAGTCAAGGTGTGATTGTGATCCTAACAATGCTCAAACATGCTTTAAGCAAATTAATGTAATTCAAAATGTATACAACTCTCTGACAAGTTATATCACTTATGATATGGAGGGTCAAGAAAGATATTTCCCCCAACGAGTTTATGACTGAACTAAATAGACCTTTCAAAGATTTTCTCCGCTGCCATCACAGGACTGAAGGTTCATAGATGAAGCCTGAATGCAAAGCCAATCATGAATAATGGAGCGACGTGTTTATTTTAAGTTTAATTATAAATTAAAGTAAAACCAAGGTTATTGCATTGCTTGTGATAGGCAACGCGTTTTCTCAACAGTGACTTGAGTGGTAAGGTGTACCACAGTGAATGGTGTGCATACTGTATGTGCTTTTGTGGGTGGTGATGGTGCAGGGTGAGGGGGGGGGTGTTTGTGGAAAAGGGTACGACTAAGCAAAGAGATCATGGAAACCGATTAAGAAAAGAGAAGATAAAGTTCATTGATTGATATGTTTCCCCAATTATTCTGGTGATGGCAATAGTCGACAGGGTCTTCGTAATATCTGTATTTTTCCCCTGTGTTAAGATGCTCTGCTGCTTCCCATGCAACTCGAGGGCAGCGGTCTGCATTGTCGTCACAGGGGGATCCATTGGAAGAAAGGAGGGAGGTGAAAGAAAATCGTTTTCATAGTTCCCTTGGTGGGGCTTTTAAGAGCAACGGGCGCAGCTCATCACTGCCAGGACTGAGGGGGGAAATTATTAACCTCAGCCAGGTCTTGCACAGGCGAGCCTTTGAGGGTGTACGTCAGCTTGATCCTCATTCGTAGCTGTTGCTGAAAAGTTGCGAGGACGATCATGTTTATAAAAAGAAGAAATTCTGGCAAATCATGTAAAGCTGCAAATGTCTTTTTGTCCTTGGTGACAAAAATAACACACTCACCTTCTGTGGGTTGAGGACTCTGATGACCTGTGTGACAGATCCCTGGTTGAGTGCTGGGACAATATTACTGCTAGGGGAGAGGAGCTGCAGCTGGAATGTCTGAAAAACAGATATTGGACAGTATATTAGAGGACAATTTAATGGACATCAACTGAGAAATGGGGTTATTATGGCCGCATAAACCAGAGATGCTGGTATTGATTGGGCGCTGACCACAGATGTTTTGTTCAAATTACTCAATTGCACTTCTATCGATCAGATAAGAAGATTGTATAATTGTTGATGCGGGCAAATGAACAACACTCGATGATTTCGTTGACTGAAGCAGGCAGATATTGATGGCACATATTTATGATTTGTTGTTTCTGTCTAAACAAACACAGACTTGTGATGCTGTCAGGTAAACAGTAAGATTGAGATGCCTGGGGAATGCTGAAGGTTGTTTAAAAAACTTCCTGTGTATCGTACATTTTAGCAAACAGAAAAACTAGAATACAATGGCGCTTAATGCATATTATTCTTTTAAGGCCAGGCAGACTTATGGTCTCAACATAATTACCCAATAAAATAGACTATTGGTTCTAAAATATGTAACTATTGGTACAGAGACACACTAATATTTTTGAGAAAATGAGTCTAGTGAAAATAACACAAGTGGTAAATATGAGACAAACGTTTTATTGATTAAAGCATTTCTACAATAACGTAGAAATAGCCAAACCAGTTCATTATATGGTTTATTTCCACTTGTTAAGATTAGGTTATGGAGGTTATCAGGTTAAGACATTATCTACATCTTCGTGGCATTAAATGCTATAAAAGCCACTCCACTTCAGTACGTGAGTGTGCCCGCTTACCTTTGGTACTGCAGCCTGAAAAACAAATTCTGTCATATCTGCCTCTGTTGAGTTGGAAGCATGGATGGTGATGACGGCGATGTTTGGATTGGGGTTAGCTCTCTCAAATGTGAAGTCTATTTTCAGACCGTTCTTGTTGTATGCCGTCATAGGAGGAATAGCTTAACAGAGATATCAGAGGAGCAGATCATCAAAAGATTTAGATATATAGCTCTTAACAATTCACAGCATGTGTCATGGTAATCCAAGTAATAAAAAACAAAATAACTTCATATAATATTTTAATACACAAGACCAGAAGCACAAACTAGTGTTAATCTGTTTATATGGCAGCTGATGGCAACAGACTCTCACCTGCAGCTGCAATGTCATTAAACAGGGGCTGTGAGGAAAGGCCATCCAAGAGGAAAGGGGGTTGGGAGGAGGGCACAGGGACAGGGGCTGGACCTCCTGAGGGGGGGAAAGCAAGGGACACAGACACACTTATAAATCCTACTGTTTCCATGTGTCTCCTCTTAAGATGATTTATAGCTAGTTTGACTTATGCTGCAGAATTTCTCACAAACAGATACCAACTTAAGTTATGTTGTTGACGTCAGCATGCAAGGTCCAAACAAACAATACATTTCTGCTACACTTTGTTTGAATCTATATTCTTAACAGAGCAGTTGAATTCAATGAAATTAAAATGGGCTGTATAGTGTTGATATTGGGATAATGATGAATAATGAGAAGCTACTTCATTGCTGCATTACTATGGACATGTTCAAGCATCTCTAATAACTAATCCCTAGTTGGCAACACGTCACCACAGGTATCAATAAGTTAACATACTCAACTTTTATAGGACTTAAGGAGCAGATTCATCACATTCACACTTGTGCAAAACACAGGTTTATACCAGGTCCTCACATTGCTCTATGGGCTAATGCAGAGCTGTAAACAGAGTATCCTACCACTTAGCGAGAGGTCACCAAGCAGCTCAAGCAGCTCTCCTCCAGCTGAGGCAGGCTTGGTGGGGATTGTAGTCTGGATCACTGGCACCACATCATTACCACCCAGCAAGACTATTAAATCATTAGCCTGGGGGACAGGGTCGACATGAAAACATGACAAATGACTTGCAGTGTACACCACATCAATTAACCATAAGACAATAAACATTTAAAAAATGGAACTATTCTTTATCAGCATACTTAGCTCAACCATTTATTTTCTGCTGCTTACCTTTAGTCAAAACTTTTAAATTAACATAAATTATTCTATATTCTCCGAGATAGCTTGGAACAGTCCATGTTTGGATTTTAGATCTCATATTGTGAAAAAAGTATCCTCCTGATTGCTTATCTATTTAACATATTCAAGGACTGTGTGTTTTAATTTCTTCATAATAAAATAATTAAAGCTGTCCTCACCTGGTTGGCTGGCTGGGTGACAGGAGGTGGATGTTTTGGATCCACTGCAGAGGGCTCTGTCTCCCCATTTGTCTGAACAATCTCTGTGGGGCCATTAGATGTGGTTTTCTCCATGATGGGCATTCGCTCGAGGAGAGCTGGCCTATATTCAAGAAGCAAGCAAAGAATAAGGAGGGAGGCAGAAGATGTTCCAAACTCAACCATGTGAGGATTTTCCAAAGGGAAATAAAGATAGGATTGCATTTTCACCTCATGTGGTCGTATTTCTTGAAAAGCGCATTGTACTCCACAGCTCTCTGCTGAAGCTCCACATCGATGCTACTGCCATATATCGAAACCACCTTCTTGATTCGGCTAAATATTACAGGTTAGCAAAAGAGAAATGTAGCAGTGGTTATGGTTAATTAACCTAATCACTTTGGCACCCAAACGTTTACAAAGCTTCAAAGTGAAAGATGGGTGTAAAAGGCCATTACTCACTTCACACCACTGAAGCGAGTCGACAGCTTCATGATGGCAGTGAGGGAGTAACCCCGGGTCACAGGTGTGGACAAGTTGGACACAAGGAGTCCTTCTAGCACGTCCAAAACTTCATCTTCAGTCACCTTGATTCAAAAGAAAGAGAAGAAAAACAACATCACAGATTAAAGGTAAGTTTGTGTGCTTGTGCATGTGTTGTTTGGCTGGAATCTTTCCAAGTGTACCTGGATGGGTTCCTCCTCTTCACATTGCCCGGATACTAGCAGGTCTCCATACTCTCCTATGCACCAGGATGCCACCTGCACTAGAGGTTGCTAGAGGACACAGAGTAACGTGTGTCAATCACTGATGAACTGTTCCGTCAGCTGAAAACACTGCATTATATAACCAAAATATATGACTGAATGCTCCATTAATGTCCCAAATGTATTCAGAACTGCTCTGACCTGTGAGATGTCATCCAGCAGTGCTTTGTAGAGTCTCTGAACTGTGTAGGCATGCATCTCCACACTGTTGGTGATGAGCTGGATGAGGTTTGGAACAGAATCGTCTCGCACATAGCTCCCTGCCTGTGAAGAAGAACAGAAAGGACAATAAGAAATCAAAATGAATCTTAAATATATATTTGTAGATTTGCATTCCAATGAAAGCAAGGTTGGCTAAGGTGTGTCCTCAGATTTGGTGAGAAATGTGTGTTTTGTGGGGTAATACTTCTATTGTAATGAGTGCTGAGAATCCAAATCAAAAAGCATAGGGTAGGATTGTTTTTGTAATATACGTACCGTTGTCAGGACTCTCATAATGGTGTCTATGTGCCATCTTTTCGAAGGGGCATACCTGTAAATCAAAAAAATACATTCGTTTGTCCCAGAAAAGGATGATGAGCACGTTTAATAAACTCTATACACCCAGGAGACAAATGCTATCAGAAAAAAATGGTGTCATCAGAGTCTGTCAGACGATGGATCACTCATTTTATCATCATACAGCATCTTAGCATGAGGCATCCCCGGTCCACTGAGGTATATTAAACGAATTATTAGCTTGGCACAAGTATATTTCATATTGTTCATATAACCTCTTCACAGACATAATAGATTTTTTATTTTTCATTTATTCTACACGAAATTAATGAATGCAGACACAGTTAGCAGCTTCTAACAGGTTGTATCAACCTGGAACTCTGTGCTGGAAGTATTAGCACTTGCACAGGACAAGTTCACACAGAATGTGCTATCATATTACTACAGAACAGCTGTACAGTTACTATGTGTAGTGAAGTATGTGTGGCAGTAACATACTTCTCTGCAGCTAAAAAGACTCCTGATGCACAATCTGCTTTAAATTCCGGGTCACAGGAGTCCAGGAAGTAGAGCAGCTCTTTCATCATGCCTCGAATGTTGTTGCCGTTCACCAGGGCAAAGCTCAGTTCCATTGCACGTCTGCACAGCGATGACAAAAACATCAAGGTCAGAAACAAAGAGCTGAATAATAAGACATGTCAAATTCAAATTGAAGTAATGTGTGCTCTGAGACAGTCACCTCTTGATGGACACGTCCAGGTCTTTTAAACAATCCACAATGGTGCTCCGATGCCTCTGCACTGCATTGTGGTCCGTCTGTACCGTCTTTAGTAGGGAGGTCAATGCTACGTATCTAGGATAGTGAGTTTAATTACAGGAAGTCATCATCACATTCTGGAGAACCTCCTGGCAAGGTCAAGTTCTGTGGGTGAATTAATTACCTTATATTTTTGTCATTGTTAAGAAGGAAGCGACCTAGGATGTTAATGGCCAAGACCTGGAGGAGAAAAGACATTCAGGTCATGGAAAAATATTTAAAACTGCTCATACCAATGCATGCTCATATATTAATTTAAATTCATATCAACTTACCCTCAATCCACTTTCAGACTTGATGTCCATTATTGTCAGTACAGTCTCATACAGGATTGCGTTGCCTACATTTTTACTCGTCTCTGTGTTTGTTGCAACCTGCAAGTTTATACAAAATCTATTTGTCAGAATGACATTAAATCCATGAGCGTTAAAGTGAAAACAACGACTGAAAGTTCAAGTCTGACCTGTGCGAGAATGTCATTCATTGCTTCACTGGAGTCGTCATCACTCTTGCCTAAAATTCGCAGTAGTCTCAATATCCGCACCTAAAACAAAGAGAAAATTATCAGTGTATTTCACAAATCTGATCCCTAAAGGGAAAATTCTGTCTTCTCTTGCACCATTCCTTGTTTTCTTCTCGTCTGCTGTCACTGTGATTCTTTTTGTGTTGTAGGTGTGGAAACCCATAATTCTGTTTATAAATCTGACCGTTATCTCACAGTTCAACGTAAATTAATTAACTTTTTTTTTTTTTTTTTTTTTAAACTTAAAAAAACTCTGCCCTGATACAACATTTTTAATGCTGTAATGTGATCATCAGGAGTTCTGGCTGCTCATGGCATGGAAAGCATCAGGATAAATTGATCTGCATGTTAAGTATAGATTGCTCACTGTAAGAAAGAGGGAGATTTACCTGCAGGAAAGGGTCGCTTATGCCTGACACATCATGCTCAGGAGAATATCCAGACATGATTAGGTTCTTCAGGATTCTCACCAACTGTGGAACCAGCTACAGAAAGATCAACAACACAAGACAAAAGATGTGGTGTCACAATATTTGCATGAATCTCACAAACTTTTCACTTTTTTCTCATCAGCATTTCTATAACATTGTTCTTCATTAACTTTTAAAGCTAATAACTATTCATTCACAGTGGAAGCCAGTTAAATTAGTGTCAAGAGCAAAGGGGTTAGAATTTTTGTTTATTGAGGCCCTGTGCAAAAATAACAGAGAACCTGGAGGCCCAGTTCTAGGGAATGTGTGGATGTAACGATGACTAGTTTATTCACCGACAGGTTTGTGGTAGTCAAAAGGACATTTTTCTCACTTTTAGTTTTGTTTCTGCCAGCCGCCATTCTTTTAGTTACAGGATGTGTAGATATGAAATTAATAAAAATGAGCAAACTTGCATGCCATATTTCGAAAAGAAATAACCTAGAATCAAGAATCAACCTATTAACTTCCTTTTTGCTGGTTTACACTACACTTTTCTGACAGCCAATATGGCCGTTAATACTCTTATGTAATGAACCAGAACACGATACTGACTTCTAGTTTATTTTAACTCTGCCAAACTCTTAACTTTTGCTCAAGACAGATAAACACCTATTTACAGTCATACAGAGCTAAAGCGGTTACTGACATGACACATAAACTTCTCCTTTACAATGACAAAGATACAGTGAAGATCATCTGCTCTTAGTGACAACGTCCTGTGCAATTACGTGAAAACACACCCACCCAACTGCTTTTAAATAGACAGTGATCAAATGAGTTGCATAAAATGACACTGAAAACAATAGAGAAAAATGTATCTGACGAATGGACCAAAAACTCATTTGAACAATTCAAAAACACTGACATAGTTATGATCACTGTGCAAGTTAAAGAAATCAAATTGTAAATCAAACACAAGATGACAGTACTCAACACAAATTTGGTTACGTCTTAGGTGACTGTGAGGAGTGATTACTAATTACAGCATGCACCAGCTATGAGATCAGAATGTACTCTTACCTTCTCATTCTAACACAATGCAGGAATTGTAACAAAGACAAATGACAGAAAAAATATGAGGTAGATGTTAGGGAGGGGAAACTGGAAATCATTCACTTTCAGAGAGCTCAAAAATAAATGTTTAGATCATGAGCATGAGGAGTGGTGCTTCTGGCACAGTATATGTCAGACCTAGAGGAGGAAGAGGTACAGCAGTGTTTGAAATACATGAGGAAAAGACAGCGGTAGGAGATATAAGATCGAGACATACTTTGAATGTAGAGGAAACCTGTAGCACAATCCAAACCTCAAAGTTCGACTAGTTTAGCGATATCAAAAAGAAATGTGTACGCAAAGGGAGAATGAAATGTAACATGAGTTTACGACAAATGCATAAGAAATTTCTTAGGTAATTTAGAGAAGAATATTCATCTGTACCTTTCTGAAGTGGGACAGCATGTCAGGACTTCTTTCACACATTTCAGTGAGGAGGACAACTGATGTATGGAGAACACCTGAGGGAACATACACAGTCAAGGTTATGTGTTTTGAAAGAATATGTTGGCAAGGGTTTAGTTTAGTTTTCCACATGACCTATTTATTACCAGGATATTCAGACCTGTGTACAAATTAAAATAGGGATATACAGCCATTATAACAATTATTACAGATATCAAGCCCAAACACTGCATTGGGAATTTGCGACTCTGAAGTCTTGGTAATAATTATTATATCCTCTGTATTGACATTTGCAAGGTTAACCGTGGAATTAACCTCATGTTATAAAGTAATCTTATAGGAATGTGTACTTGTCCGCATTTGATTGGTCAACACAGTACACTGTGGAATGAGGTTTCCTTTGCTGCACGTGCCTGCATTTTTTTGCAAGTAATTCTTCCATCACACCTTTTCACAGAAGCAGATATTTAGACAAGTCATAGTAGAAAAGCACAAGCACAAATATGATGATTGGCAGCTGAAACAGCTTCAGGCTCTTGTTCATAAAACGTTTGCGAACCAGCTGACTGTCATACGTCATGTCTTACTGGAGCACTTGAACTGAACAGCCATTGTTAGTGTTATCTGTAACACGTGTGCTTTCCCTACGACATGAAAAATGTAAGCTATGCAGTGGTCTCATAGAAATGAATGAACGTGCTGTGTTATTGAAACGTACTGTCACTGTCAGAACATATATATGACAAAAAATATTCCATATTCCATATGTCAGACAAGGTAAATATTTGATGTGTTGTTATTAAAATGTTTTACGTACAACATTTATACCTGTGCGCAGGTTTTGCTTTTGTCGTACTTTGTACCAGTATCCAGACTGACAAATCACACAGAAGCCCAAGTCAGATGTCACCAATTATGATGATCTAGCATACTTATGATTAACCACAGAGGACATCAGGTGACTGCATCATAAATCTGTTCAGGTTTATAATTTCCTGGTGACCTGAAGGTTAAAAACACATCTGTGGGATAGGAGTGAAAAGCAGTGGTAGTGGGAATTCTAAAGCCACGTGATGCAGTCATAAATAAGTCATTTTTCAGTGATGTTTATTTATACATGTGTAGGAACTTTCACATCAGTGATCAGGTTGGTTGAATGTATAGATCTCTGAACATGTCCTGACACTACATATTGGTGGATATTATGACCATCCTATTAATGATCTATAAAATAGCAACTGTTTCTGATCTATTTTTAAGCAAACATTAATGCATTGCCATACAATGTCAAAGAAGGGCAAGATATTTCAGAATCGTTATTAAAAAAAACTTTTCTATCATATCTCCCCTACGTCGGGGCCACACAAGGCAAATACTTTATGACAGACTCATTAATTCTGTTCTCCTCTGCAAAGGACACCACAAAAAGGACACGAGCTGTCCAGCTGTTATGAGCAAGGAACTGTGAGTGGCAGTAAATAGGACAAAGTCTACATTCGTGAAGTAGAGCAAGCACATGAGAAAACCGTTTACGCTCACCATGATTCTTCTCGCTCAGCAGGTTTTTTGTGGCTGGAAGGAACATTTCCATGAGTTCTGGAACCTTCCTGATGACATGAACTGCACACAACGCTGCCTGTCAAATATTTACACATGAGAAAACAGATGAAGAAAAGTTCTGATCTTCAAGAGAGTAAAGTATAACAGCATACATACAGGCCTACATTTTCTATCACAGTTCATTCATTTAAAATGACAGCATACATTTAAGCATGACAACAGTGAGGCTTACTTTTTTCCTCAAGTAGGAGTTAGATGTTTTGAGCAGCTTCTCTACCTCCCCTGCCAGGTCACGACACATTTCTGAGGAGCCCATGCAGCCCAAAGTGCACAAGGCTAGACCCTGTACATATTGTGTGCTGTGATTTAAGTCACTGGTGAGGGAGAAGAGAGTTGGATCAGCCACGGAAACCGACAATACTCACTAAAATAGTGAGGAATATATGAATTCAGTGGAACAGAAAAAAAGTTATAAAAGTTTCTACAAGGATTAAGTTAGGTTTTGGGCTGGTCCCTAAATAGACATTAACTTAAAGCACACATCAAGAATTTAATTTAATCTGTCAATCATAAACAAATCATTGTGCCAGTCAAATGCAAACAAGCAACGACTTAAAAACTGAACATTAACTATATTGACTAAAAATCTTGCCTCCACTTACTTCTTAATGCAATTTGTCATTAGTAGGTGGACGTCCTGCCTCTCATCCAGCAGCAGCATAGCTCCCAAATAACCTATCCGTTTGTCAGTGAACTTCTGGGATGCGATCAGCTTCAGGCACTCCAGCTGGAAAACAAATCATATTGTCAGAAGACTATCCAGGGTTAAAGCATTGTTCCGATAATGTCATTGGAAATCTAAAAAAGAACCCCCCCGCCTTGCCATCACCAAACATACCTGCCCAAAGTGTGCTGGGTAGCCCAACATGTGCATATAAAGTAGCTTTGCCACATTTCTGCAACGGTATGTATTATCTTCCTCTCTAAAGGACGAGCGGATAGCAGCACACTCTTTCTGGATCATCTCACGCTCCTCTGCCTGGGTCCGTGCTGTCCGGATAGTCCGGATTAGCTCCCGAAGTCTAATCGGAGCTGGCATTCTCTGGAAAACATGAAGAGAAACAGGTTGGCACATATTGCCTTAGAATGGGACTGAGACCAGACCACACAGAAACAGAACAGCTACATGTAGAATGAAGAAAAGGGAAAAGAGCCGCTTCTCTAATAATACTGATGTGCACGGGGGGGGGGATGACAGGTGAAGCTTTGAGGCATACAAGCTTTAAACGACAGGTGGAGGTTTATAGTAAGTAGTATAGTAAATAAGGGAATGCTTTGTCATGAGAATAACTTATTTATTTTCACGAAGACACAAAGAAAACTATTTACACAGTGATGGCATGAAGCTGACCTACAGTATGTGCTTAAAAGTAAGTACATATTGAGCTATTAATAAGTTCTAATGGTCAAACAAATAAAACTTAAGAGGAGATAAAACAGTGTTCATAAAAAAAAGACAGAACCATATAAAAGTCAGTGTTTTATGACAAAAACATTTAAATAGTTTTTTGATCTAAGGATGATAGTGCAGCTCTTTGGACGCATTATGACATCTCTTAAATTCCATTGTGTATCATCTTGTTCAGTATTAAAAACAAGTTTACCATTTTGTTAAAACAAACAGAAAAATGTTATTCTCACTAGATAAATGAGAAAATATATTCCAAGTTCGATCCATTCTATTTGGCGACAAAATTCTCATAAAAAGGATGTGAATATTACTCCTATAAAACTGGAAAGTTATTAATTTTGGCTTCTCTATGAGAAAGGGACCCATTTTTGTCTCCCATCTCCTGGGGCCTTTTATCTGGTGACATGCAGCACATAATTAAGCTGCTACAGAAACAATGGTTATTACTGGTCAACAGATCTATTTTCTCCAAATAAGCGCCCAGTCCTGGAAAGGATGTTTGGCAGAGAGAATAAATTTCCACTGAGCTGGGGACCTTAAACATCTAATGGGTGAACTAGTGGATGTCATTGCTGATACACAACTGCTGTCATAAATAATGTAATTCTTCTCTTCTCTAAATGTGAGACTGCACTTATTAAATCATGTCTACAACTTTAACTGCGTAGACAGAATGTCTAAGGTTTTACAATTCAAGAACGGTAGAGGATTAAAATTCTCCTGGACAAATACTTCACCCCAGGAAAAGGCGTTGTTAATTCTGACTCAGGCTGCCTTGCTGATATATTTTCAATTTTTTGAGTTAGTGTACATACCTTCGGCTAGATCGCTGTCATGCTAAGAGGAATAACTCTCAAAGTGGGGTATTTGTTGCATTCCATTAGCTTACTGATTTTCCTCCTGTGATTTTCAATGAAACTTACTGACACTGTTGCTTTATGTAGTGTAGCACCCAAATCATCTCGTCTTGAGGCTCTGTTTAACTTTTAATTGTATAAAAAGTGTTGCTAACAGTTATATTGCTACTATTGTTCTCGCTAGATATTTTCTATAAGATGCCTGGAAATCTTACAAGATCTTGAGCTGGCTAATTGCCAAAGCCCTTTACACAGAAAGTCAACTCTAGCTCCTGTCCCCACATGACACAAACTCCGATAATTGACTGTGCATTTTTAGATTAAGGTGACTGCAAAGAACAAGCCTTATTAACCATATGAACTTTAAATCTGTTTTCAGCATACCTAGTTGCCTTGTTTTAAACCTGCATAACTGCATTTTTTACCTGAATGTTCAGTGGAAAAGCTCCCTACTTACTTTTTAATCATTAACCAACACTGACGAGATCAAGTGAAATAATTTGTAACGCTGCCAGTCAACTGAGGGGAATAAGTATTCAGATATACAGAGAATGAGGACATCCTTTGTTGAATGAAGTGGTGGTTTGTAGAGAGAATTCATGGTCATTAAGGGAATAGTTCTCAGAGTGGCCTCGGTGCTCGGGCAAGGCTACAATTTAATAAAGCCAGAGATCTACCGTCTGTCTTAACACCATTTAAATTACCTGCGCTGAATGGACCTAGTGTTGGGTTCCATGAAAAATGTCTCCCTGTCTCTTGCTGTGTTTATAATCAAATGTGTTCACATTCAAGAAAGTTAATCCAGCCTCTGCCGAGTTTAATTTAATTACAGTTCCTTGTTCTTCCAGTCACAGTATAACTGCACATTCATCAACGAAGTGTCTTTAGCTTATAACATAAAACTTGTAAAAAAAAAAAAAAAGGGGGGGGGGGGGGGGGGGATTAAAAGACCATGGGATGGGGAGCTGTGATCTTATTTAATAGTTGGGCAGCAGCAGTGTAGGGTTCCAGCTTGGCATTACCAGACAAATTCACATTAGCAAATGGATCTGGAAGTTCTCAGTTTATTTTCAGTTTCCAAGCAGCATTGTCAAGGTTCAGACCAAAATGCCTCAGGACACACTTGGACTTCAACCAATTACAGCAACATAACATGTGATGTAAAACATAAACAAAATGCTATAAAAACTATTCTTCTTTCTGTGAAAATGTACCATCCACTTCATTAAATACTGTCAAGTCAGAGGATTCAACAGACCTATCCGCATCAGTGACAGCCACGTTGGTGGTAATGAAAACTGCGGCACTGTCCGGTCAATTTATCAAAACCGGCCCTATTTGGATAAATGGTTCTGATTGGCCCTCCATGTCTGTGGAAGGATGGGAATCTGTATGAACTGCAAGGGGGGACAGAACAGCAGAGCAAATAAACTGAACTTGCTGATTGGTGTGGTTTCCAGGCAAGTGAAGTTTAATACCTAAGGTCCGCTTTACTCAGGCTTACTACAAAGACAAAAAGGCAACCATTGTATCACAGATAAAGGTGGTGACTACACAAATGAGTCAGTTCAGCTATTACAGATTGTGTAAAACTAAATGACTCAGTTTACCAGAGGATATCTGGGCTGAGTGTGACAATGACAAAATGTACTGGTCTATGCCTTGGCCAGTGCCAAGGGCAAAAATAAAGTAAATTTTGAAAAATGAATGTGAAGTGAATACATAAATAAAACATACTGAAAGGGAAAGTGATGAATTCGTCAAAGAAGCGTAACACCATGATAAGACAACAGTTTTGTAGGCAAGTCACTTTTCACCAAGTATTTCAGAGGGATTATGCCCAAAGACATCTTCACTTCCACAAACAATACTATTGGTAGTTTTGTCAGCCAAAACAAAAAAATAACAAAACATAATCAAACAAAGCTAAACAGGCAATTACAATCATCAGCAACAATTTATGGGAGATCAAAGTAGATGACCACAAAAGCCATGATACAATCTTACAATCGGTTCATATAGATGCATTTGGAAGCATGATCTAATATCAATAACACATCTTTCCTACATAGGCTTAATTTGCATGTATTCTGAAATGTTCAAAACAAGCTTTTCGTCTCATGAGATTTGGAGAGCCAGTCAAGATAAGCTTTCAGAGCCTGACAACCAGTAACAGGTAAAAAGCTTTTACCACAGGGAGCAGTCAACCTGTTGAGTAGGAGACATCATACTTGCAGCAACAAGAGATAGAACATACTCAAAATGGTTTTACAATAGATAACTGAATGCTGCCAGAATTGCATGGTTAGAAATTTAAAACACAGATGTGCTGCCTTCCTTGTTTGGAAAGAATTGCACTAAAAGATCATCAGATGGCTGCAAGATGAAAAATATACAGAGCTACCACAGGGGAGAAGCATTTTCCCTACTCAATTTGCCAAGCTGTTGGAGCCTGCACTTTGTCTCTTCATTTTCTCTGTGTACTCAGCTACAGTATGTACACAGATGTTACAAATGAAATAGTATCAGAGCAGACTTCTTATTTCACCAACTCTAAGTGACCAGCTACGCACAGCTACAAATAACCGTCACCAAATATGCAAATAACACTGAGGAGCAACCATGCCAGAGTAACAAATGTCAACTTCTACATGTTTTACATTTATAATCTGTTTCATGTAAATTGAAATGTTGAGTCCTGCACCTTAAGCCAGGCTCAGATCATTTTAAAAATCCAACCAATTTTGAAATCATATTATATTCTGCACATAAGGAGGTAATTCTTAAACATCTGATTTCTTGAAGGATTTTAAACATACCCAAACTACAAGATTTGAAAACAGTGGCACACACACCACAGGATAATATAAACATTATCATGCCAGCGGGAGCAATCAAGGAGCAGTACAACACCTCCTGTATTCCCACGTGATCTCATGGGAAAGGAGATGTAAACAAAATGGAGACAGGTGCAACAACTTGCTGTTCTGTTAGTACTACCAACAAAAAACAAAAGCATTAGGCTTAACCAGCCTACCTTAGTCAACACTGGTTGTCTACTCTTCATTGAGAACTGGAAGTGAGATTTTAACTGTCAGTTAGCCTTAAAGTTACAGTGTGTAGAATTTTGTGATACCTAGTGTTGAAGTTTCATGTTGCAGCTGAAGACCCCTCACCTCACCCTCGCCTTCCAAACATGAAAAATAAACTGTGGTAGACTTTAATTGTCATAAAAACTCAAAAAGTGTTTAGTTTGTCCAGTCTGAACTACTGTAAAAAACATGGCTATCAGATGAAAAAAGCAATGTGAGCGTATTATAATCATCCAGACTTGGATATTACTGGGTCGGCCCAAATGGGTATGTGGGCAGCAGGTGTAAGACTGACTTAGTAAACACCTCAATTTATCAGATAATCTAAACATTGGTATCGACCAAGGTCAAGGACCAGATTTCTCCTCTGATGTCAGGAGGGGTGAATTCCGGGAAAGATCTTCCCAATTCTCCTCAGCCGAAAGAATATTTAATGCATTCATTATAAATATTTTGATTAGTGTTTGCCAGATTATTACATTCAACACTGTTTGCAGTCACCCCCATTGCTGCTCCTCCTCCTAAGGTCCACAAGCACATACAAGTGTTCAATCTGTTGAAAACATTGTTAGATGTATTTGAACTTACTTGAAACATATGCTCAAAGCCTGATGGTCAAAATAGAGCGTTTACGAAGCTGAATTATAACTGCTTGTCATCCACGGGAATGTGTAGTTGAACTTGTAAGGCTTCAATCAACCACCAATGCTAGCATCATGGAGTTCTAATAAAGAACTCACTGTGTGCAAGGATTATGACATCATGTCCTAACCCCTGGCTACATTTTTTCTCTCAATATAGTGGTTAAGTGAAGTTATGCTAATAATTGTTTGTTTGGCTTTGTTAGGTTGTAAGATAGCCAGCAGGCAGAGCTCGAAAAGCAACTGACTCTATTACTAATGCTACCTCCAAAAGTACTTTTTCCAACACTCACAATATAGGGCTGTTGTTACAGGGAAATGTGTTAAATTACAGAAGTTATATTCCATTATATCCTGATTGGCTGCTAACAAAGTGAGAATATTGAATTTCAAAGTCAAAAAGAGGCACAAGTGTAAACACATCACCTGCTAGTACAGGCATGAGGCCACAAAGTTAATCATTGTAACCAGCAGACCTAAAGGTTAAATGATTCTAATCAAGATCGGGGCTGTCTTCTGTCAACGATATCGACTTGTAATGTTAGGATCCTGAAATATTTAACATGGAAGGACAACTTAAGCTTCTGTTGAATCCTGGGTATGTCTTCACCACTGGTAAATACTAGATAACTGAGTCATTTCAAATAGAGATTAAGACACAGGAAGAGGCTGTCATTTTGGAATGGCACTTCTTACATATGAAGGATCAGACAGAGAAGTACAGGAATCAAGCAACACAGTTCACGTCACACTTCCTACTTACAGGTGACTTCCTTAACGACAGCCTACGCATTGTTTCATAAAAACCAGTGACCATCAGATGATATAAAATATGTTATTAAAAGATGTGTAGTTCAAACTGCCCTCTGAATGAGACGGTAGCTTAGGAAACTGTCACAAATGAGTCAACTTCCTCCAAGACACGAAGCTTTATATCACTGGATCCTTGGGTACATGCACACGCAACGTCAACCAGCTGCTAACAGGTTCACTATTTGCCAAATGTCAGAAAAGTCTGACATTACCTGAGAGAAGCAGAGCCAAACATTAACTATGTGTCACTTAGCAAACGCACATTACACCTTGCAAAAAGTCTGCTAACAACCAGCTAGCACACTTTGAGGGAAAGGGCAACATATTGGGATGACACCACAGTAGTAGCTTCACCTTGGCTGACATGTTTTCGTTAAATGAAGATTTAAATCAACAGCAGCATAAAGTCCTGTATAAAGGTGTCGGGGCCATTACAGACTGAAGCTCACCGCCGATTGATCGGGACATGATGCAGTTCAGGCCCTCTTCAAGCATTTTGGATTATCAAGCTAGCGAGTCCCCTCTGGCGTTAGCTAGCTACCTGACAGTTTCTGTCATACTTACTTCGCTTGCTACCTAGTTGAAAAAGTACAACGGCACAAATGTGAGCTTTGTTTAAAGATGTGAAGTAGAAATTCGGGATAAAACGTTGTCACTGTGATGGTGACTCGGGGGGCGAGCACACAACACGAATGTCTGAGGAGTTTCACATCCCTAGCACACAGCAGGTAGTTAGCCGGGCTAAGGAGGTATGCTAACCGTGCTAGCTGCCTTAGCTGCTGACAGGCACAACCCCGGCGCACTGAGGGGCTGCGACTTCCTCTGCAGCGCCTCACTGAGAGTTGTCAACGTGGATGCGATCGAACCGCGGGCGGCCGGCCCCGCGTAAAGACACTAACACACACTCGCGCCGACATTTTATCCCTGAGAGATACTTACGAGCCGTAGTGGTGCCAGAAAACGACCGGATTCGCCTCTGTTAGCAATGGAGGGAGGAACACACTAGACATGCAAAATGGTGGCTACTCCAGCCTCGGCGCATCTACAGCAGGCGGAGGGTTACACTGACAGAGCGCAGAGGTTTTGTGAAAGAGGCGCGGACTGGCCGTCGCACCGGGCTCGACCTCCTCACGCTGACCGCACACTAACCGCAGCTCTGCCCGGCATCGCACCTGATATGCCCGTGTTCACTGGACACCATGGGTAATAACCGATCTGTGTCTTCATGTTTATGAAAGCGGTAGCTTGCCGATCGCCCTGCTCATCATTTGCTAGTTGCCGTCTTTGCTAGTAAGCGTCTCCTCCATCGCTCTCGCAGTGACAATAAAGGGCTAACGGGCTTGATAACGTTAGCAGGCTTGCTAACGACATCTCGTTGATTTCACCAGCTAATAGTGTGGTTATCGGTTTGCGCTGCGATGTGTGTCACGTGCCACTTGATCTCGTCGCATGACACGAAGAGATTGTTTGTTTGTCGCGATGCTGTATTTTCTCTCAACCTCGCGGAGGAACACGTTTTCTAGCCCTGTCAAGGTTGTGCTGCGGTCCGTTTACTCGTGGCAGTCAGTGATGACGACTGCGTGTGATGTTATGACATTATCCGTCCAGCGGTGTGTAGCGCCCTCTGGTGCTTACACCGCAGTGATGCTGCAGGTTGGGTTTGATCATGAACTCTGTTAACTCTCTAGACACTGGACTGCATCAGGTGTGGTTTGATGTGTGGCTAAAAACTCCATTGATTTAAAGTTGAGATTAAGTCGAAATAAAGCTGAGCAAGTTGGAATGAAGTCTGATGGAAGTAAAATACTATTCCAGTCAGCTGTAACAAGTGATAAGTCACAATAACTTTATAGAGTTTGGTGTCATTGAATAGAAAAATGTTCCAAGGAGTTTTAAAACGGTGCGATTTGTGCCGAGGATTAGATACAGATACGTTTCAAGTTTTATTTGTCATATGTAAGTTAACACAGGGTCCACAGCGTGATGAAAGGTGTCGGACAAGAAGAAGAAGTAGTGCAATAGTTAAAATAAAAGTAAGGTAGAAAGAGTTTACTATAAAAAGGTCAAATATAATACAATACAAAACTATACTATACATTCAAAGGTGCAGTGTGACATTCGTTGCAAATCAAGTACTTTAACTGTATTGAGTGTGTATGACTAGTTATTGCACAGTGTGTATCAGTTGTTTCACATTTTTTCATATAAAGTGCGAATAGGCAGGAAAACGGATTTGGAGATGGTTGTTAGTCATGAGTTGGCTGCAAAGTTTAGGAACCTGATGGCCTGATGTTAGAAACTGTTCTTTCATCTGTTTGTTTATGTGCTTGGAGCCTGACTGTCTTAAAATGATCCTAAAACTGTGACTAGTTCTGTGTTAAATGATAGAAAAATAAACAGGGTTATCATAAAACTTCACAGGAGATCTGTATTATTGTTGTCAGTTAAATCGTTGTGTAGAGTCTAATGTGGCCTTTCATGTTGGAAATACTTTGTGTAGCCTTAAGACTTTTTCTGAATCATGTGTCCCTCTCTTACGAGCCTTGATTTTAAAATTGGAGTGTATGAATCATCGTTATTGCTTTCCAGTGCTTGCTCAAGCCCACACCCATCAGGTCACCTTTTCATATTTTTGACCTGCCCGCCCAGTGGCTATTCATCTGGGTGAACAATCAGCATTCCGTCTCATTCAATCAGTGGCCTGTATCACACATGCATACAATACAGAGGTACTCAGGTGAAAATTCAAAGCTTGAGAAGGTAGACTTAAACACAAAGGGTCGGTTCACAAGTTACAAAGTAATAAGTGAGCAATGCTGATGAGTTTGGTTTAATGTGACCTCTTCACCTCTGATATCTACTCCGGTGAATTTTCTTGATCTTCTGGTGAGCTGGTCTTTAGCCTTCACCAGGGAATAGAGGATTTAAAGCTACTTTTAGTGCTGGAGAGTCAGAAGCTCAGCCAGGTAGCTCTATATGCCATATCACTCAGAGCCTTAAAGGTCAAGAGTAAAGTTTGAATATCATCTCTAAAGCAGACACGATGACAGATGCTGAACCAGGGGAGATATGTGTTTGGACTGAGCTGTTTGGGGACCATAAGTTATCTACAAAAACACTTGTACTTTATTTGAAATGTGGATTCTGAAGCTATGGCAGGAGACAGCTTCCTGTTGTGTTTTATGTCTGTTTAATGACAACCAACACAAACGTAAACTTATCACTCACCAATCAAAAGAGCTAAATCATAAAATGGTGGTGAAAATATGCTTATTCATTTCGCATATATACTACTACTACTATCACTACAATTCCTTAAAATTAAAAAAATAATGTAACTATCAGTTGTCTATGAATTTAATAATCCTGCCGTTTTGGATGATTAAAATACATACAGTTAGAGGGAGGGAAGGAAAATGAGAGAGGGATAAGGCTGACAG